TTTCTGTCTTCCCCCCCACTTCCTATATTTTCCCATTTTTCTCGGGAATCGACGATTAATTGTGTCTTTGTGTGTTTGTTTCCCTCCTGATCTATCTCCTGCGTCTGACGGCGGCCCGCGGCCAGCTGACCCCCGCCCTCGGCCCCGGCGCCCAGTCGCCCGGCGAGCGGGCGCGGCCCTGCCCCTTTCGCAGTGCCCAGAAGAATCCCTCGTTCAGGGGTCGTCGTCGTCGTCGTCGTCGTCGTCGTCGTGGTCGTGGTGGTCGTCGTCGTCGTCGATTGCCAGCGAGGCGGCGTTGCCGTCGAGGTCCCGGTCGTCGTCGGCGTCGTCGTCGTCGCATTTTGGGTCCTGGGCAGTCCCCGTTAAAGGTTTTCCGATTTTGAGAACGTCTCGACGAAATCTACGAACGGGCCCTTAAGGGGGGCTCTTAATGGGGCGGGGCGGCTGCGGCGGCTGCTCAGCCGCCCGTAAGGGGGGCGCCTGTGCACCCAGGGAGGGGGGCCGGGAGGGGGCATTCGGGGACAGGGCTGGGGGTTCGCCCACAAGCGAAGACGTCGAGGAAGGGGAAAGGGGGCGGGCTCGAATTGAAACTGGCCTTTGCGACCACCAGAGGCGCAAGCACTGCGCCCCCCCCAAAAAAACCCAAGAACAAAAAAAAAACAATATAACGACAAACATCAAACAACAAATGCCGATCAACGGGCGCGCAAGACAAGTCCGCTGACTCGTCTGTCCCATCGTGCCAACCATCCGTGTCGCATCCGTGTCGAACGCATCGGATCCGTGTCGAATCCACGCCGGTTTCACGCCGAATCCGCGTCGAACCCACGCTGGAGTACAAGAAAAGACCAGCCAGTTACAGGACAGGATTCCAAGAAGATGCCAAGTAACTTCATGGGCGCCTGTGTGGATCTCCGTGGGCCTACCATAACAACCACTTCGACTGGATTGCGTCCAGATTTCGACCGCCCATCTTCGCCTAAACGTCCACATTTCCTTCAAATGTCGTCCAGACGTCGGCCAAACCCAACAAGATCCAAACGATATCCCCCAAACCGCAAAGAATTTGGGGACCCTCTTTTTGAGGATCCCATGAAGGACTGCACAACAGATGGGTTCGGAGCAGATTGTGTCAAAGGAACGCTCCGCATCGTCGAGGCATGATGAATCGGAAATGCATCGGCGACGTCGGCGATTCATCGGCGACGTTGGCGTGGGGAAGATCGGGACCCACATCGAGCCGCATCGCCGATGCATCGGCGACGCGGCCCGGTCCTCCGACTACATCTACCTGGATCCAATCTGGGAGGCCTAGACTATCACGGTTGGCGTTGGAAAGACAGCATGCAGCATCGACGTCCGAAAAGCACGCTATCCTTTGAGGCGATCCCCCCGCGAGGGCCCCTTCTGTGCGTAGGGCTTCGTCGGCGCACGCTATTTCAAAGGTGGGGGTAGCATGTAATGGCTGGCGCCGCCACATCGCCCGCCGGCCTCGCTGCAGCAGCGGAAGCCGCCAGGATATGTCGAGGGGCAACGCTTAGTTCGTTGAGGATGTGCTCGATTGGTCGTCGAGGGCCTCGGGGAGTGGTGGGTATGGATAGCGGCCCGCCCTGAAGGCGGGAGAGTATCCACATCCGCCTCTCCTCGGGTCCACTGGGCACAACCAGGGGCAACGCGAGGGGGAGATAGACTCGGCGTTCGGGATTATTTTGCGTTTTGGTAGGCTCTCGGCAGTTATCCAGTCTCGAGATGCTCTCCAGCAGCTGCGCCTCGCAGAGGGCGTTCCTGGGACGCCCGGATCGTCCCGAGCGACCTCCAAAAAGCCGAGCTGTGACCCGGAAACCACAGGGCCAACGCCAGGGGGGGCACCGGCGCAGGGGGGGAAGCCCCGAGCTGAAATCGGCGGCACCCGGCCGATAGATCGGCGATAGGGCCCCGATAGTGAACCCGCACTTTCCTAAGCTCGGCTTTTTGGAGGTCGCTCGGGACGATCCGGGCATCCCAGGAACGCCCTCTGCGAGGCGCAGCTGCTGGAGAGCATCTCGAGACTGGATAATCGCCGAGAGCCTACCAAAACGCAAAATAATCCCGAACGCCGAGTCTATCTCCCCCTCGCGTTGCCCCTGGTTGTGCCCAGTGGACCCGAGGAGAGGCGGATGTGGATACTCTCCCGCCTTCAGGGCGGGCCGCTATCCATACCCACCACTCCCCGAGGCCCACGGGCGCCACCCCGAAGCTTCGGAGGCAACTAATCGACGCGAACCGACGCCTACCGACGCCAATCGACGGTAAATCGGCGCTATCTCATTGATTCCCAGACGCTACTCGACGTTAAAGTCGGAATTAAGACGGTACACAAGGCTCAAATGACTTGCCACCTAACGAAAGAATATTGATAGATCCTGGCGGTGAGTGATGCTCTCAGGGGCAGCGCGCGTGGGTGAGAAGAAACAAACGCCATACACATAAACTGTCCGAGGTCCGCACGGGTTGACTTGGTCGGCGCTGGACACCCTCCCCAGCGCGAGTTCTGGCGCCGATCCAAAAAATATACACTGGCCTCCACAAGTTGGTGGTCATGCAACTCTTTCTTCGATTGGCGCAGTCACGCAAGGAGCAATGCCATACGGCAGGTTGGTGCCGTCCCAAACCCCCGACTTCTTGCCTTGTCCAGAACGTCGACCCCCAGAGGTCTGGACCCCTTCCCTGGGACCGGCTCCTCATCCTGAGTCGCTTTTTGACGGTCCCGAGACCCCGAGGAGGGCCCCCAGAGGCCGGAAATCGCGAAAGACCTCCCGTCGTGATCTTCTCACCACGCGAGGGGGCCTGGGGCGACGACTTGCGCGCTGGTTACTGCCAGCGGCGTGGCGCGCTCCACCTCAAGAGCGATCGCGGCCTGCGAGGATACCGCCAACCCTTCGTCGTCGGGCGATACTGGGCCACCGGCGGCGTTCACAACTCCGAGCGCTCGCGCGGGGGCCGCCGCCGCGTCGACGCGACAGGAGCCGGCTGCACAGTCGGGGCGTTGACCTAAGGAACCCCAGATAAGGAACGAGGCCCCTTTCTTCCGTAGGTGAAGCTTCGATGTTCCAACGAAAACATAAGCTCAACCTAAAGCAAACTGTGAAACAATGAAGGGACACCGAGCCCCTCCCCTACGCAGAGGGTTCCTTCTTCAGCGCCCCGACTGTACCACTGGACACATATCGTAAGGGCGCTTACTGTTCGGAATGGGTATCGCCCCTCAGAGCGACAGCCATAGCAGAGGCACGCCAGCAGACCTGAGGATCGGACACGGCAGGTCTAGGAGAGAAAACTCCATGTGGGTTCCCAGCCCCAACCAGGTAGGTCTCGAGCGAAATTCAAGCGAGCCTCGAAGCTAAACAACCATCGACATTAACTGGGCTGGCCATCTCTCTCCGGGCCTGTTCTCCTTCTGCATCGGACAAGCTTCCGCCAAAGAGGATGGGCCATACCTGAACTCCAAGTGGCATGTCTTGTTAACGGACCACCTGCAGCTACAACACGGAAGAAATGGGAGTCAGGGGTCGGCTGTAACCCTTGTTAGAAAAGAACCAAAAAATAGATGGTCGGGAGAAATGGGAGCAACCATACTATCTTGTTGGCAAGGGTGTTATACATGGCTCGCCAGAAGAGAAAGGGGGATCCGTTCTCCGCCTCGGACGCGGCGAGTTCCGTTTGGTCTCCCGCAAGGTCTCGTGGGGAGTCGTTGCCTGGCCCGAAAACAAAGAAGGAGGGAGGAGGAGGGAGGAGGCGGAGGCGGAGGCGGAGGCGGAGGCGGAGGAGGAGGAGGAGGAGGAGGAGAGGGAGGAGGAGGGAGGGGGAGGGGGAGGGGGAGGGGGAGGAGGAGGAGAAGGAGGAGGAGGAGGAGGAGGAGGAGGAGGAGGAGGAGGAGGAGGAGGAGGAGGAGGGTGGCTCGACAGTCTCCAGTATGGACTCCCGCATAGGCTCCCGTATGGTCTCCCGCCTGTTCTACTGTGTGGTCTCCCGTCTGGTCTCTCGTATATGATCTTCTGGGAGCTCTCCAGCGGTTTCTCCCGCATGGCCTCCTGTGAGGAAGAGGTGGCTCGTGGCGTATGGTCTCCCGTATGGCCTCTCCCATAGTCAACCAGTGAGGTAAGGATGCGCGATAAGGATGTAAGGGCCTTGGACACCCATTTCAAAGCTTTTCGAGCGGGGCGCGGCCAACGAAAGTGGCCAAGGATGGACCGAGGAGGCGAGGATGCAAGGGTACCCTTGGGAAGGTTGCCCATCCTTAACTACTATCATGGTTGACTGTATGGTCTCTCCCAGGGTCTTCTAGCTGGCTCCCCCGGACGGTCTCCCGTGCGGCCTGTGGTCTGCTGCATGGGCTCTCGTGCAGTGCCCCGGATGGTCTCCCCGATGGTCTCCCAGAGGCAGGGGGGTGGCCAACAACCTCCCGTGGGGATTTCTTCTTGGAACCTCGGATCTCTGGGCCTGCATCCTCTTGAGCAGAGACCGACCGTCCCAGCATTCCTGTAATTCGGCATGCCGCGAAATGTTCTTAGAACCCAACAGTGTCACAATGATAAAAGCACTGCTCTTAAAACACAAGCCCGACGTGTTAATTCAAGACAGTCACAGCCAGAAATATTACAAGATCATTGCGCGAAGACCATGAACATTCTGCTTAGATCATTCTTTTGTGGGCCTGTAGGCGAGCCAGGACGCTTCGCCACTGGTTCCTTCTTGGAACCTCGAATCTCTGGGCTGGGGAGACACAAAGATACTGATACCGCTACTCCCTGGACCTCGCCCGGGGTGCGTTCTGACCAGGATTTCGAGGCGCATCCAGCGGTGGCGACGAAGGAGGCCCAGGAGGCCGAGAAAGGGGAAAACGGGCGAAGGGTAGAGGTGCTATGGGGACCCTTCTCTCCCTGTGCACTTCTCCTTGGAGCCTCGGATCTCTGGGCCTGCCTCCTCGCCGCCGCCTCCCGGCCCCCGCCCTGGCCCGCCGCCTCCAGGTCCACCGGCTGCGTCTGGCACCCGGCCTCGGCCGCCGAAGCCCCCCCCCACGGGGCTGCGGACTTGCACGCCCGAAGTGGGTACGGAAAAAATGACCACAATGCCCAACAACAGATGTTGTCCAAAACCAGCAGCGGCCGCGGCTGGGCAGGCGGCCTCCTGTCTCAGATGTACACAGGCCGCGGCGACACCGACAGCGAGTCCTGTTCACAATGAACAGGAACCGCTGGTCGGGCGAAAGGGGGAGATAGCAAAGGGGGGGTTGAGAATCAGCTCACGTAGCTGATTTTTCCGGCGCCTCCCGGCGCCAGAGGCGGCTATGTGTCGAGGAATGGGCCCCTCGGTGAGGCCGAAACCAGCTGCGTGCAGCAGATTTCGTAACCCCCCCTTTCGTCCGGCCCGAGAACCGCTGTTGGGCACTGTACCCATCCCCCCACCTCCTCCTCCTCCTCCTCCTCCTCCTCCTCCTCCCTTTCCTCCCCCTCCTCCTCCTCCTCCTCCTCCTCCTCCTTCCTCCTCCTTCCTTCTCCTCCTCCTCCTCTCTCCTCCCCTCCTCCTTCCTCCTCCTCCTCCTCCTCCTCCTCCTCCTTCCTCCTCCTCCTTCCTCCTCCTCCTCCTCTTCTTTGCCCTCAGAGAGCAGAAGTCTCCCTACGGGCCTTCCAAGTCCGCGTGATGGATCCCTCCTGCCTCCCCCGCCTCCCCCGTAACGGGGCCACCCTTCGGAAGTGAAAGCGCTCATTGGCAAGTGAAGCAGCAGCAGCAGCAGGCAAGCGGCCAGACAGGCAAGAGCAAGGTCAAGAGAACATCGGCCAGAAGAAGCCTGGGCCACCCCGCTGTAGAACCTCACTCAACCACCCGAGCCAGCCCTGCGCAAACGAGCGCAAGGACGCCGCAAAGTTGGCCTGTTCGAATCGAATTATCATATCGGGGTTCGAAATGAACCAGATCGGCGGAAATCGGCAGCCGGGTCGGGACAAATCGGATCGGCGGAAATCGGCAGGCTAGTAGCCTCCAATGCAAAATCGGAGCCCGAATCGGAATCCCACCTCGAATCGGACCGGAACCGGGAGCCATTGAAGTCGAAGCGACCCGAGCCGGACGGAGGACTCGAAGCAAGCCCTGGGAGGCTGCCGAGGGACCCGTGGGTCAGGCAAGCGGGTGGATGCTGTCCACGCGATCGGTGCTAGGGCTCCTTGAGCGCCAGGCATCCCGCGCCGCCACCCAGACGGCGCTCGAACACCTGGGGGCGTCCCGGGCAGAAGGAGGAGGAGGACGAGGGGGAGGAGGAAGAGGAGAGGAGGAGGAGGAGGAGGAGAAGAGGAGGAAGGAGGAGGAGGGAGGAGGAGGAGGAGGAGGGGGAGGAGGAGGAGGAGGAGGAGGAGGAGGAGGAGGAGGGAGGAGGAGGGGGGGAGGAGGAGGAGGAGGAGGAGAAAACGGAGGAGGAGGAGGAGGGGGAGGAGTGGGAGGAGGAGGAGGAGAAGGAGGAGGAGGACCCGCGTCTGGCCTGCGCCCCCCCCCCCCCCCCTGTCCTGGAGGTCTCCGCCCGCCTCGTCGGCCGCGGCCGCCCGGGGTGGCCGCAACGTCCTCCGCCTTCTCCTCGGCTCCTCAGCTCCTTCTCCCTCCCCCTCCTCGCTCTCCCTCAGCTCCTACTCGCCCTGGTCCTCGTCCTCGTCCTCGTCCTCCTCCTCATCTCCTCAGCTCCTCCTCCTCCATTTCCTCCTCCTCCTCCGCCTCCTCCTCGTCCTCCTCCTCCTCCTCCTCCTTCCCTCCTTCTCCTCAGCTCCTCCTCCTGCCTCTCCTCCTTCCCGAAGTCAGCGAAGCGAGCAGCATGGGCAGGGGGGCAGGAGCCGGGGCAGGAATGGACTATAAGAAGAGCAGGACGAGGAGCTCGAGAAGGAGACGCCTCAAAGGTACGGAGGTTCGTGCGGCGTCGGCGGGCGCCAAGGTTTGTGACCCCGCGTCGATCGTTCAACCTGAATCGATCATGGCCCCGACCGTTCAAGGTTGAATTCCATCGGGTCCTGTGGCGTTACCGTGTCCCTCGGCGCTTCCGCGTCGTTCTACCGTGCGGTGTTCCCGATAGCCTCCCATGGGAAGAACCAGCCGTTCAGATTCGAAGCCCCCTCTGGAAGAACGTCAGGTGAATCTCCGCACGAGCTCCATTCCCTACTAATCCCTACTAATTATCAAGAAGGTGGAATCACATATAGCAAGGTTTAGATCGGACATATCCTCCTACAGGCGGCTTTTGGAGGACATTTAAAGGATTGGAGAGTATCTTCAAACATGGTCAAAGATAGAAGAGAAATCGTGCCCTGATTTTTCGACCACTTTTGAAATTTCCTCCTGTAGAGGGACATGCCCGACTTAAAACTAGGTTCACGTGTGGAACGTCGGGCCCGGCGTCGCGCGGCCACAGGAGGCCGAGCGCCAGAACGACATCCGGCCACCTGTGTATCCTGCTCCCGCCACCGCCCACGCCGGCCGCCTTATGAACCTCCGACTTCCTGGCAAGAAATGGGAACACTTCTAGAGGCCTCCTACATGGGTTCGGAGTAGATGGGCTCGGACATCGACGATACATCGACGATGTATCGGTGATGCACCGGTGATGCAGCTTCGACGTTGGGCAATTAGATCTCGACCTCGCGAGGCCAATCCCTTCGCGCCCCTCCGCAATACCCCCCCCCCGGCTAACGGGTCGCGACACTGCGCGCGATTCTCCGTTATCCGTCGCCCCCGGTCGCTCGCCGCAGGGGCGCGCGGAACGCCGGACTTCTGGCGCGCGTTCGGCTCTAGCCCGCAGAATTCCCCGCCGGGCTTCGGCCGAGGCCGCCAACCGCCCGGAAAGCCCGGGGAGAAGTCCCCCCCTGTCCCCCCCTCTGCCCACATCGCCTCCAAGATGGCCAAGGTGGCGAGGCGCCCCGAAGAGCGAGCGCGCCTTCACGGGCGCCCGCTTGGAAACGAACCCGGCGCGGCCCCAAGTAGGGGAAAACCTATTGGCGCCTCGCTGGGCGTGTCGCCTGGCATTGTTTGACATTGCTGGGCACTGCTTGGCGTTGCATGGCAGGGTTCGGCATTGCTTGGCAAGGGTTGGCACATTGCTGCCGCGGGCGGGGGGCCCGAGGGCCCCGGGAAATCCAGAGGTCCTCTGGGCGACGCGACATAGGAGGCGCCGGGCGAGCGGGGCGCGAGGGCCCAAAAAGGAGCCCGAGGAACTTCCTGGCAACGGGCACCATAAGATCACTAGGCGCCAACCTTCAAGCGAATAAACAGCTCGGAGGGAAACTTAATTTGGTAAAAATGCCCACCCGCCCAAGGGGGGGGCCCTCGGAAACCAGGGGGGGGGGAAGGCGACGACGACAACGACGACGACGACGACGACGACGACGACGACAACGACGACTCGAAGCGAGACGTCGCTCACCTCGGCGGGGGCTCTGCCCAGCGCTCCCAGGCGCGCGCAGCCCCGCCCCCGCCCCCGCTCCGACCCGCCGCCGCCCCGGCCCCCCGATGCGCCGCCTGCGTCCGCGCCAGAGAACTGCCGTCGGGGCGGGCGGGATCTCCAGATCCGACGATGGCGATGGGCGATCCTGCGCTCTCTGATAAGGCATCAGCCGCCACCCTCGGCCACTCGCAACGAGCTCTCGCAGCCCCGCACTGGCGCTCCAATTTCCTGTGACTTGTTCGCCCGCTGCGTAAACTCGCGCTCGATCGGCCCCCGAGGCACCCGGCCCGCCAGAAACTTCCCGCCCTCGCAATCTAACGACTCCTAGATGGTCTTCGCCGCCCCCCCGCCCATCGGCACGCCGAAACCGGGCCGCGCCATGGCAATGAAACATGCGCGCCCCGCGCATCGATTGGCATCTGAAGTGTGGGGCCGCCCGCCCGATGGTCTTTATGGTCGCGTCCTCCAGCGTGCACTGGTGCCGCCCGTCAGTCCTCCTCGCCCCGCAGGGCCTGCTCCTTCGCTTCTCTGGCGGGCGCTGCCGTCCGTAGAACTGCGGGGCGCGCCGAACTGCGTCGCTGCCGAGAATCTGCGAGCGAGCGGCTGGCCCCCCGCACTGAAGTCCCGCTCCTCGCCCGTGGTCTGATTGGCCGCCATGTCCTTGCTGTCCTCGTCGCGCCGCGTACTCGCGGCAAACGAATGCGCGGGGGGCCCGCGATCGCCGGCGACGCCCCGCGCGGAGAGGAAACCAACAAAAAATAGAAGAGCTGGGGGCGTCGGCTACCTCGCGAGCGAGCGCGAGTACAAACCTCGCGAACATGTCAATGATCTTCGCGAGGCCCCCGATGTTGCCGCCCATGCCGACCCCGCTCGTCGGTGCCCTCGCGGGGCTGCCTCTGGCCCCCTGAAACACACCGGCGCCTCCTGTCTGCGATCCGACGTCGCCCTCTCTCTTCCTCGGGTTGAACCAAAAAGGTATGTTTCAGGCCCACCACCGGCCCCGACTCCATCAGGCATCAGCCTCGAACGGAGCAATGGGAACTACCATGGAAGATGTTCCGAAGCCAAACGACTGCATGCAACTGTCAAGTCAGCCACCTGATACTCGCGTAAGACACACTGCAAGCTACGCGACTGCTGCATGTCCCCGAGGGCAGAACGCCCAATACTACAGCACATCCCCTTGGAGAGGTGCCTGGGCGCCGTGACCTTGCTGGAGAACGCCAGCCTGCAGTGAGTACAAGTGTAAATGCAAAGAAGTACGTATATCTGTACATTTTTATATATGTATGCATATACATGTACATTCATATGTAGATTCGCCGTGTTTACAAAAAGTACATGGTGGTGGGCCTGAAAGAGGTTCAATAGTGCAAGTCTAGCGTGAAGCACTGTCCCCCACGGGCAGTCGTACGCACGAGCGCGACACCGACATTGCACATAGCCCTCAGGAGAACCAGGAAGCCCTTCGTCCCTGACATTGTTTGCTACATCGCCTGGAGGGGGAAAGTGGGCGCAGGACTTGGCCGTGCGTGCGCGCCCGAAGTCGAGCAAGCAAAACTCCTCCATTGCCTCGCGAGCCCCGGAATGGTTGAAGCCCCCCAACAAATCATCAATAACATCGCTGCCAGCCACCCCCGCGGCAAACTCAAGATCTCGCACGAGTTGACACAGCCGCGGTGGGGCAGTTTCCGAAGGGCCCCCATTCAGCTAGATGTGGGGGGAGACCAGCCTCTTGCTCACAGCAGAACCACCCAAACATCGCAAATAAAGGTTGGACATGCTGATCAGGCTGCTCGGCCGTCGAATGCGCAATCCACTCTCACTATTCAGGGAAGGGAGAGGAGGAGGACGAGGACGAGGAGGAGGAAGAGTTCGGGTTGGAGTCCCTGTACGAAGTCCTCACAACCCTTACATTGCCTTCTCCTGGGCTTTACGAGCGAATTGAGCTCTTAGCTTCACTGTAGACATTGGGCCACAGGCCAAGGTCGATGCGCCTCAAGCACTTGTTACGAATGTGTGCTGCTGTGGGTTTGTACCTCAGCCCAATGCCTAATAACTGCTGACCCCCATACATCCCATGGCTAACACAGAACCGCCTACCTTGGTGCTCACGCGGCCTCCAACAATGGGAGGGGTGGGCCCCACCTCCCTGCAATGCGACTTACCCTTCCCTCGGGCGAAACACGAACGGAACCATCAATTGGAACCGGCCTGACACGTGAGGTCTCGCGCCACACCCGAACGCGGGCAGCCGCCGCGGAGCTCGACAAAGCCGGCACCAAAACAGACAAGGCCTCGGGATCCCGCGGACGAAGAGGCGGCATGGGAGAAGGAGGCCACTCAGAAGCAGCAGCACGAGCCAACGCGCCGTCATTATCACTACCCCTCTTGCGCTCCAGGCCCCGAGGGTGCCTCGCGGTCCTATGGGCTTGGTCGGCCACGCGCTCCGCCTCGGGGGCGCCCACGCTGGCGCGAATGATCCCTGCCGCTGCATTGCCACACGCGACCTGCTGCGATTATCCTCACCGCCTGGGTGGGCGTTCACGAACGGAACCGAGCCATGCTCGGCCCGCCGCCCACTGCGAACATCTTGGCCGATCTTGGCCCAAAGGAGCGCGTGCTCACAAGCTGGGTGTTCGAAGGCACGAACATGCCAACCATCAGCATATGGTTGACAGTGCCAAAAATGAAATCCTACGCTTGGCGTGGACCGACCAAGAACAACTCACCTCTGGGACTGGTTGAGCCAGGCAAGCCTCCTGACAAAGATGGGGCGATATCAAGCTGCACCCCGCTGGTGTACTGCACAAAACCCAACCCAACTTGTCTGAAGCGGAGGTCCCGTGAGTTGTGTCCCCCACTGGCGTAGCCGAAGAGCAGCACTGATCTCTGAGCTAGAAGAGTCGAAGGCGCCGTCGAACACGCCATCATCGAAACCCGTGTGGTACTACTCCTCTTCTTCAGGGGCTGGGACCTGCGCCCAACTCCGGGGCGTCACCCCACGTAGCCAGAATGCTGGTTCAACTCGGTATCGACTCTGAGCCTGCATGTACACCTCGTCGGTCAATCGGTACACCTCGTGGCCTCTGTTGGCTTCGCAGTCCCATATACAATGAAAGGGCATCTCAAACTTGCCTCGACAACGCAAACCCTCCGCACAGACAGTCGTCTTGACGGCGGCCTGTGATCGCCCCCCACGCGGCCAAGCACCACGTGCAGCCACTGATACGATAAGTTCCTCGAGACGCCGCCCCTGCGGTGCTGCTTCCAGCTGCCGCAGTACACCCGAAGGAGCAAGTGTCGATCCCATCCCTGACTCCTTCACTACAAAAATGTCCAGCAGTAAGGCTCCACAGTAGAGAGAGGAGGAGGAGGAGGAGGAGGAGGAGGAGGAGGAGGAGGAGGAGGAGGAGGAGGAGGAGGAGGAGGAGGGAGGAGGAGGAGGAGGAGGAGGAGGAGGAGGAGGAGGAGGAGGAGGAGGAGGAGGGGGAGACGACGTAGGGGGGGGGGATGATGAGGAGGAGGAGGAGGGAGGAGGAGGAAGGAGGAGGAGGAGGAGGAGGAGGAGGAGGAGGACGAGGGGGAGACGACCGTAGGGGGGGGCGGGAGGAGGAGGAGGAGGAGGAGGAGGAGGAGGAGGAGGAGGAGGATGAGGAGGAAGAGGAGAGGGAGGGAAGAGGAGGGGGAGGAAGAGGAGGACGGGGAGCGGGAGGAGGAGGAGGAGGAGGGGGAGGAAGAGGAGGACGGGGAGGAGGAGGAGGAGGAGGAGGAGGAGGAGGAGGAGGAGGAGCAGGAGGAGGAGGAGGAGGAGGGAAGGAAGAGGAGGAGGGGGAGGAAGGAAGTCGTACCATTTGCCCCGGCGGCCGCCTGCCAAGGCCCTCGCCGGCAGCGCCAGCGCGCGGGTCACCGCCGCCCGGAGCGCTGCCCCAGGCAGACCTCGAGCGGGCAACCGCGGGGACGGCGAGACGCTCTCCGGGCGCGGGCCTGTCCGAGGCGGGGCCTGCCCCGGAGCGACCGTCCCGATGCATCAGGGATGCGGCGCGATCCGCCGGCCCCATGTGCTTGGAACCCCTTCTGTCGAGTAAGGAGACCGACTGCAGAATTGATGTGTCCAATGCTGGGTAGTTTTGGTAGAACCTACTGAACATGCGTCGAATGCCCCGTGGATCTACGCAACGTTCGACGCACCGTTGGCAGACCCGACGGGCTGGCGTAAACCAGTTCTGCAGTCGATCTCCTCCTGGACACCTGCGAAGCCTGGACACGCCACCTGTCGGTGCCCCTGGCCGCCCGGGGCCGCCGCGCCACAGCGGCGGTACTACAAGTCCCTGCCCTCCTTCGCATTCGATCATGGATTCCTTGCCACACACCAGACGTGGGCGGTCAGAGGCGGTCTTCCGTGATCGTTGACGGATTCCAACGGTCTTCAGCGATTTCCGACAATCGTCGGCGCGAAAGCTTGATGGCGTTCACCACAGGGTTCATGACCGAACACCTCACAACTCCTCGCTTCACATGAAGGAAAGAGGCGGCTGAAGCTGGAGACAAAAAACGGTATCACTGTCACTCCAAACGGGGACGAATCCGCGAGCTGCTGCTGAAAAGGCCCCAGGATTTCGCACAGAGAGTGAACAAGGTAGTTGCCTGAGGAATGCAACGCGCAGGCGGGAACCGAAGAAGAACACACAACATAAGACATAAACATAAACTTTCGACGCTCCGCGCGGATTGCTTGGATAGGGGGCCACATGCGAACCCCACCCCCTACCCCCCCCCGATCTCTGAGGGGGAGCGTGGGGTTCACTCCTCTCGGGAGCTCCCGAGCGAATTGAATTGAACCCCACCCTCCCCCTCAGAAATCGTGGGGGGTAGAGGGGTACACGTCGTTCATTTCTAGTCGTGCTCATTTCTAATTGTGGTCGTTTCTAAGTGTTCCTGGCCCCCTGGTGGCCAGGAAGAGGCCCAGGATAGCACAATTAGACTTGAACGCATCGTGGCCCCCCAATTAAAATCAAAGAACTTGCGAAGAATCAGAAGTGAACCATGTGTAGGGGTGAGGTTCGCATGTGGCCCCCTGTTGGACCCGCGCTGGGCCCCCCCTGGCAGCGCCTCCCGCGCCGCCCCCGAGCGCGCTCCCACGACATCGCCCAAACACCGATGCCGTTCTGTCCCCGTTGCCCCTCGTCGTGTCTTTAGGGGAACAAGAAGTGGCATGAACATAAAAACTCGGAGGTCCGCGCGGATTTCTCGGATCCGCGCTGGGACCCCCCTCCCTGGCGCGCGGAGCGCGCCAGGGGCGGCGCCGGAGGCGCCGCCGGGGGGCCCCAGCGCCGATCCGAGAAATCCGCGCGGACCTCCGAGTTTTCATGTTTATGTCACTTTTTGTCCCCGTAAAACGCCACTGTCGTTCCGTCCTCGTTGCCCCTCGTCGTGTCGTCGCTCCGCCTGCGGAGCGAAGGCAGCACGAGGACGGCCCACGAGGCCGCCAAAGAAACACACCGCCCGGCTCGAGCCATGCTCGCAGAGTCGCCGCGAGCAGCACGGACTGCCCCTGGGCCCCCCCCCCCCTCTCGCGGCGCGCAACCTTCCAGGCCCATCGCCATCGATGCTGGGATGCAGACGACGATGACGATGACGATGACGATGACGATCGTTATCGTCATCGTCATCGTCGTCGTCGTCGAGACCCCAGCGCTTTCTTCGAGGCCGAACTCCAAACACGACGCTCGAGCCTTCGTCGACGACGATGATAGGGAAACGAGCTCTATACACCGACGCTTTTCCCGACCCTGCGCGGAAATTTGTACAGGAACGCGGATTCTGGTGTATACGGGATCCTGGTGTGTACATGTTCCGTTGTTTCCCTCGGAAAACGGGGGAGAAGTATACACCACACCACCCCGACGTGGTCCCCGACCCTCAACAAGTCGTGGGATTGAAACAGAACCCGCCACTGGTAATGTATATGTTCCAGCTTCCGAGATGACGATCGTCATCGTCATCATCATCATCGTCGTCGTCGTCGTCGAGACCCCAGAGCTTTCTTCGGGGCAGCTCTGGCCGCCAGGGGCCTACGAACCCAGACCCCCTCTCGAGCCGCGAAGCAGGACCACGGCGGGACAGACTGTTCGTCATCGTCGGCCTCCGGGGGGCCCTCTCACCGGGCCTCGTTGCCGCCAAGACACAGCTCGGGGTGAAAAGCCGATCCGAGGGATTGGGTCGCGAACTCTGGGGGTCGACGTTATGAAAAAAAGTCATGACGTCGGGGTGTGGGAAGCTGGCGCTCCTGCGCCAACTGAGCCGCCGTGTCGTGCGACGTGGCCTGCGAACGAGCGAACTTGCGTAGCCGTTGTGCCTGCGACTGGGCCGCTGTGCCGTGCGACGTGGCCTGTCCCCGAGGTCGTTCTTGCCAGCAGGGGCCTGCGAGGCTGGCGTTCCTGCTCCGAGGTCCTGCCATTCACTTCTACCGCTTCTTGCCGGCACCACTCGTGCCGACATCATTCCTGCCTGCGCGGCTGGCATCCTTGTCCCTTATCCCTTCTGCGCATCTTTGGGGGAAACCTACAGGTACCGACACCAACACGCCCCGCCAATACTCCCCGGACCTCTCCCGGGGAACGCTCTGACTAAAATGTCGAGGCGAATCCAGCGGTGGCAACGAGGGCCTCGTAGGAGTCCCAAAAGGGCGAAGACGAGGGAATGCCAGCTGTATCGATACATTCTCCTCCTCTGAGATGTGTCGTGTGACGTGGCCTGCGATTGAACGAACTTCAGGGGCCGTTCTGTCTGCGCCCGAAGCGGCCCTGGTAGCAATGCCGAGAGGCCGAGAGCGGAGAACAAAAACACCCCGAGGCGCCTCGCCCTTGACCGCCCGCCCCCCCTCCCCTGGTCACGCCACGATTCGCGCCGGCGCTGTCTGGGAATGCGCCATTCTTGTACATTCCCAGACGGCGCTGGCGCGAATCCTGACGTGAACGGACCCCTTTCCCCCCCTCCTCCCCCCTCCCCCCGGTCACGCCCGTTATCGGCAGGGGATGCAAATTGTCTCCTTTGCCGAGCCCTCGGCGGCAAAAGGAACTCAGATCGACTAGCCGCTGCCTCGCGAGAGGGAGAGAAAACTGCGCACACACACAGCCTTTGCGGGCTCCGCGGGGGGGAGGAGGGGGAGGAGGAGGGGGAGCAGGGGGGGAGGAGAGGAAGGCGGAGGGGGAGCAGGCGGAAGAGGCGGAGGAGGAGGAGGAGGAGGAGGATCGCTGCGTGCTAGCACGCTTAGCCCGAGCAGCGTCAAAAAGAGGGTACTGATGCTGCTGTTGCTGCTGATGATGATGAAGATGAAAATGAAGATGCTGATGATGAATGATGATGATGATGATGATGATGATGATGATGATGATGATGATGATGATGATGATGATGATGATGATGATGATGATGATGATGATGATCATGATGATGATGATGATGATGATGATGATGATGATGATGATGATGATGATGATGACGATGGTGATGATGATGGTGATGATGATGACGATGATGATGATGATGATGAGGAGGAGGAGGAGGAGGATATCGCTGCGTGCTAGCAAACTACGAGCAGCGTCAAAAAGAGGAGGAGGAGAAGCAGGAGGAAGAGGAGGAGAAGGACGAGGATGAAGAGGAGGAGGAGGAGGAGGAGGAGGAGGAGGAGGAGGAGGAGGAGGAGGAGGAGGAGGAGGAGGAGGAGGAGGAGAGAGGGGGGAGGAGTTGCTTTCTGCTGCGGTGGGCTGCTACCCAGACGCTGAGGCCACCACGTCGGGGCCATGCCGTCCGAGGGCTTGCCCGCCGCCGGCAGGCGCCCGGAACCCGCGCTGGACGGGCGTCGACGGGGCGGGGGGGGCTGACGCAGTGGGGCGCGCGCTTTCCTCTGTGAGCGCTATGTTGTTCCCATCGTCCTCGAGATCACATCCAAAAAACAATTTCGAGCACCAAAAAGGGTATCGAAACGGTGTCTGCCCGACACGCCAGCGAAGGGTCGAACGAGTATCGCATCCCACGGCCCGACACGTGAACACCCTCCAGTTTCGGTAGTTTCTTGGCGCTCGAAAATCTTTCTGGTGAACAGATCTCAAGTAGGTTGGAACATCATGATGTGAGCGTCTGGTCGTGACCGACCCTGGGGGTAAGTAGCCGAATATTAAGAAGAATAAGAAGAATAAACACCCACATTAACAGAAGCCTTTGGCGTTCCGCGTGGATATATTGGATCCGCGCGGAGCGCCAAACGGCAAAAGTTTATGTTTATGGCGTTCTTTAAAAAAAATGTTTTCGACATTGGGGGTCGATTGCAAAATTTATATACCCCAGTAGTAACCTTCTCGTCGAATATACAAAACATACGTAGCATGTTCCGAAATCTACGAGCATTATGCGCATTGCTCGTAAACGTTGCTGGTGCCCCCCCGCTGCTCTCCCGTGTTGTGCCGATCTCTGCAGCTCTGTGCCGCTCTCTGCTGCTGCTCTCCACTGGCCTCCTTCCGGTATCTCTCCTCCTCACCCTCAAACGCTGCCCTTCTGGGCACGAACGGGCCCATGGGGCGCCCCTGGTCGCCACCCGCTTCGGGAGGCCCGATCGCTACGCCTGCTACATCGCGGTGCTCATGGGGGACTGCAAACAAACGCTTCGGAACACCCCCAAAACCAATGCGCCATCCTGCCGGAAACATCCAGGCGATCTGGGCGCGAGCGGGCTCGTAGAATGACCCTGGTCGGCACTTCCTCGGGAGGCCAGAGCGCCATGCTTGCTAAATCGCGACGATCACTGGGGAACCGACAGGAGAAATCGCACCTCCCAATAACGGCGATTCTACCAGAAAGAGCTGGCAAGTGGCATGCCTGCTAAATCGCGATGCTCATCGGGCGAGTCTGAGTATGGGTGAGTCTGCGTATAAATTAGACTGAGTAAAGATAAGGGAGGCTGCGTGTTAACGTATCCGGGTGTGAGTGAGTCTGAACATGACTGATATGTGTCTGACTTAATCCGCGCGCGAGTTGAGTCCGAGAGTGACTGGTTCATTAATGCTGCACTTGTTGAGTTTCGACTCGTCTGCGGAGCAACCCGTCGGCAACACCGCATCGAGGCCAAGGCGCCTCAGCTTTTCGACCACATCAGATGCCAAAAGCGTGCGAGTGCGCGCTTTCGACTTGCTTCGCCTCGTCGCCGCGCGCGGGCCGCGACCACCCCGAACAAAAAAGTAGTTCCCCGCAGCTGCGGATAAAAAGGGGGAGCGGGCGCGGGTCGGGTCTCGGGTGGGTCGCGGGCGGGTCGCGGGTGGGTCGCGAACGAGTCGCGGACGAGTCGCGGAGTGGGTCGCGGGCCGGGCCGCGGGCGGCGACGACGACAACAACGACGCAACGCAACGCAATGCGTAACCAATCCGCATCGCGGAACCCCACTTCGGCCACGCGCCCAAGGACAATGACAGACCGATCGGGCCCCTCACTCTGAAGTGCGCGCGCGCATGCGCGCATGCGCGCGCGTCCGTTCCCAACGCTGCGACTTACTTCGCCTCGTCGCCGCGCTCGAGGCCGCGACTGGGCAAAACGTGCGCGCGCGCGTGAGAGCGTGCATGCGTGCGCGCGTGCGTTCGTGCGCGTGTGTTTGCGCGCGTGCGCGTGTGTGCGTGCGCGCGTGTATAGTTTTGATGTTTGAGTTGTTTGTGGTGTGTGTGTGTGTGTGTGCGCGCATGTGTGTGTGCGTGTGTGTATGCGTGTTCGCGTTCGTGTGTGTGTGTGTGCGTGCAAGCGTGTGTGTGTGTGTGTGTGTGTGTGTGTGTGTGCGTCTGCGCGCGTGCGCGTGTGCGCGTGCGCGCGTGTGCGCGACTGTGCGTGTGTGTATGTGTGTGTATGTGTGTGTGTGTGTGTGTGCGTGCGTGCGTGCGTGCGCGCGTGTGTGTGTGTGTGTGTGTGTGTGTGTGCGTGTGCGTGGTGTGTGTGTGCGCGAATGTGTGTGGTGTGTTGGTGTGTGTGCGCGTGTGTGTGTGTGTGTGTGTGTAAGTGTAAGTGTAAGTGTGTGTGTGTGTGTGTGTAAGTGTGCGTGTGCGTGTGCGTGTGCGTGTGCGTGTGCGTGTGCGTGTGTGTGTGTGTGTGTGTGTGTTGTGTGTGTGTGTGCGCGTGTGTTTGCGTGCGCGCGTGCGCTTCGTTTGTTCGCTGCCTGCCCGCAGCGGAAACGACGTGTCCTCGCACCGTTTCATACCAGGCTGCGCGTCACGGCAAGCAATGCTGGCGGCAGTGGGTGAGGGGGAGTCACGCGGGTGGGGCACGGTCCACTGTGCAGCCACCCAACGCCAACCCACACACCCCGCACGATGCTCTTGTCGCACCCATCCGCCAGGAACGGCCCCGTCCCGGCTCTGGGCACACCGACGCCCACGCGACTTGCGAGCAACACACGCCACCTTGGTGGTTGTCGCTGTCGGTTTTGATGGGTGGACCAGCCCGTTCCGGGTGGCGTGAGGGGGCGGCACCTCCACCGCTCAGCGTTTTCGTAAGACCTCCATTGCCATGCTCAGCGTTTTTGATGATGTTGCTAGTCAACATAAGATGATAGCAACTTCGATTCGCAACTTCCCCCGGGGATTATCAAATTTGGCCTCGCCGCCCCTCTCCATAATCAAATCTTCTTGACACGGGGATAATAAATATTCAAGGGGTAAAAAGGGATACTTTTTAATCCGGGGCACAAGGTTATTGAATCGAACTCGTGTCGGACTCGAGTCGAACAGATCGAATAGGTGGTTCCCAGGAAGGTCCCCCGAACGAGCATTAAACGCATTTGATGGTTCGAGCTGCACGGTCGAGCATGCCACCTTTTTCTCACTTTGCGTGCATTGCCCACCCACCGACAGTGTTTGGTAATAGCTTCCATCAGCAGCATCGCCACTCCATCGCTGTGTTGGACAACGCGCCTTGGAAACAAGTGTGTATGTGCCTGTGTGTGCGTGTGTGTAAGTGTGTGTGTGTGTGTGTGTGCGTGTCTGTGCGCGTCCGGGTTAGCGATTCGCGACTGTGCCGTTACCTCGCCGCTGGAGGAACCAATGTGCACGCTTGATTTTGTTGTTCGGGGGGGCCGGGGCTCCCCGCCAAGCCCTCCACCCCCAAAGGCGCTCGAGGTTTGCCCTACCCCTCGGTCATTTCATGCCTTGTGTCATCGCGAAGGTGGCCCAGGGGCGATATGAAGACAGGGGGAGGGAGGGAGGGAGGGCCGGGGGAAAGACGGCAAGTGGCGGCAACAGTGGACGGCGGCGCGCAGCCCAGCCGTCGCCCCGTCCAGCGCGGCAACGCGGCCGCGCGGCGAACATCAGCTGGGCGCGCTGGGGCGCGCCGCCAAGCGGTCCCGCAGGGCCCGCCCGCCCCTCAGCTTCGGCGAACCCCGGCTCGCCGTGGCGCAACTAGCAGCAAACTGGCCGCCCTAGGCGGCAACGCTGGCTGGCTAGCCAGGCGCGCCCGGCAAGGGGCCTAGCAGCCGGGCGGACGCAAACAACCCAGCCAGGCCCCTGCGCGGCGACACGAACCCTCCACGCCCAGCTGGCGAACGACGCGCGCGCTGCCTCCGCCGCACCCTGCCGCTGCCCAGCGCCGGTCGACCCCTGCTGCCCAGGCGGCGCCGCAGCGGCCGCTGCCGCGGCGTCGTCCGCCTCCTGGGGTGCTCGCCGCCGTGGAGGGCCAGCCTAGCAGCGCCAGACGCGGGGGCCGCCGCGGCCAGTGCTCTCGTGGTTCGCTTTGGAAGCCGCACCGGGGCGAACATCTCCTGCAGTACCATGAGCGCGTGCAGCCGGGCCGGGCGCCCCTGCAGGGCCCCAGCAGGCGGCGACAGCGCGGCGGCGGCTTCCCCCGCGAGGCTGTCAGCGGCGGCGTTTCCGCGGTGGTCATCCTCCGAGATTCCGCGCGTCGCGGCTTTGTCTGCGTCCAGGTGGGCCTTGGTCCAGCGGGCCGCCAGGAAGCTCGAGCGGCAGTGGGAAGCGAGCTGCTCCCAAAGGTCTGCGTGAGCCCACCCCTGCGGGGTCGCGCCACCGTTGAGCGCCGCCACGCCGTCCTGGACATAGCGCGAATCGGTGATGACCTCCAACGGCCGGCCCGCGAGGCTCAGCGCTGCCGTGGCCCCGTCGCGACGGGCGGTCTACTGCCTGTCGACACGCTCATGGTGGTCGGTCATCGGAGCCCCTGGGCATTCCAGGCGCAGACCCCAGCCCGCGCGCGCAAGCAGCGGCTCCGCGAGGTGCTCACAGACCCCGTCCGTCCAAGCCCTGTCCCGCGACTCGGCTCCGGCTGGCGGCAGCGCGGGCGTGAGCAGCTGCAGCGCTGGGCAGTCGGCGCGGGCGGCGGCGGCGAGCGCCGCTAGGCCGTCGTCCAGCAGGAGCCCGCTCGAATTCGCGACGCATGGCGGAAGTCGTACCTTCAAGGCGGCCGCCGACGGGCCGCCGGCTGATTTGCGGACCCCAGACCACTTCGGGCAGTCCCGAAAGCGGTGTTGCCTGTCCTCGCAAGCAGAACCGCAACGAGGGCACCGCGCTGGCAGGCCACTATTTCGCTGCGACCGATTCAGCGATGACGTTCCCAGCCTTTGCGTCGTTGAGCAAGCACTGGGCCCACTGGGTGGCCCACTGGTCGACGTCGCCGGCGACGTGCGCGAGGTCGGCCCGCCGCGCCGCCACCGCGTGTCCGGGAGAGCGCGGTCTGCGGGTCTCCAGCCCGCAGGAGCGGCGGTCACGCCACTCCAGACCTCGACGTCTATCCAAGCTGCAGCTCCGCGGTGCTGCGCGCCGAGGCGGCAATCGGGCCCGAGCCGCGGCCGTGGCCGGCTTCCCTGACGCCCACGGCTGCGCGCCATAGATCAGCCGGGAATCGGCGGCGGCGCAGCGCCTCGGCGGCAGGCCACAGTGGCGCCATCACAACCACCGCGAGGGGGTTCGAGGCGCCAGCTCGGGGCAAGAGTGCCGAAAACGATCTTGGCAACGGCGCAGGGCCCTCCTCTGTAGACCGCCTGCCGAGCAACTGTCCGCAGTCTGGCGAGTTCGCGCGCTGACGGGCGTCCGCACGACGCCCCGTAGAGGCCGGCTGCTGTGCCCGCCGCAGCGCCCAGCAAGCAGCACTGCACGAGGCGCAGCGGCAAGCGACCAATGCGGCCGATCCAGACGAAGGCGCCTCGCACCCGTTCAGCAGAGACAGCGCAGCGGCGGCTTCCGCCCGCGACCGCTGCGACGCCTAGGTCGCAGAAGCCGGTATGCGCCTGGATCGACGGCGTCTGCTCTGCCAGCCATCGCCGCAGTGCCCAAATGCTGGCGAATTGCCGACTCTTCACGCGATTAACCTGCCAACCCATGGCCGCCTCGAAGCCTTCAGTGGCGCGGAGCGCCTCCCGCATGCTCTCCGCCTCCTCGAACCGGGCCTCGACGCGCGCCCACTAAGTAAGGCGACGACATAGATGCGCCGACGGAGCCAGTCGTCGATCCTGCCTGTGACGCGCTTTCAGGGCGGCGTGAGAACGGCCAGGGTGAAAACGGCCAGCAGGCACCAAGCGAGCAGCCCGCGGGAGGGGGCCCAAGGCCCCCCAGGACCCTGCCAACACAAATCCGCCGCTGGGCACTATAAGAGGCGACCGTTGGCTGGGCCAGCCAACCAGGCACGCCAAATCGAGCAAGCACGTCTGGCAGCGATTGCAGGTCGACCTGGTCGTAAGCAGTTCGCCAGTCCAGCGCCGCCCCAGTGTTCACCTCGCCCTCGGCCACTAACGCCACCACCCCTCGGCCCCTAAAACTACTACCCCTCAACGCTTACGTACTCAGCCAGGGAGGAGGCGCGAGGCAGCTGGATGCGTCAGAAAACCTCTGCCTCTTGGAGAGCTGAAAACAAGGCTCTCGGGGGGGGGGCTCTACACTGAAATTCTACCCCCTGAAACTGTGGACTGGCTCAACTAATCAAAATATGTTCACGAACCAAACTTGGTTGCTGATCCCTGCAACGCGCCATCAAACCAGCTCAACCATTTGTTCTACTCTCTGTCCAGGTTCTAGAGATGCCGTGTCTTTTGCTGTATACTTTAGGGTAGACGGCAAGGGGGCTGTGATGAAGGACTGAGTGCAATTTCCGCATGTTTCGGGAATGGCGTACTCCATCTCCTCACCCTTCTTCCTGCTGCTGCTCATGCGCCTAATCCTGCGCCGCTCTTACACCGTAACATATACTCCATGTCTGGATGGAAACCTACAGTGGATGACAGTCCACAAGAAACCTTACACAAGAAACCCAACCCAGAGACCCCATGACGTCAATTGATTCTTGGTCTGGGAATGTCGCGTTTTCCACATTAAAACTCCCGAAACCTAAGAAACCCAGGGCACCATGGAGGCAAGCAAGGTGTTTCTTGGCATGGGCCTCCACTATGTTCTATCAGCCCCGTGGCCCCAATGGCGCCCCCGAGAGTTTGGCGTGAAAGCACCAAGTGTCCTGAGGGAAAGGTGTCCTGTGGGCCCAGGAGCCTTTCCCCCGGGACCACTGTTTCATCCCGAGTCGTTGCTCGACGGCCCTGGGATCCTGGGAGGGTCCCGAGAGCCTGGATATAGCAACGAAGACTCAAGACCCGTGCCACTCAGGACCCACTTCTCTTAATGGCGGGAAGGGTGCTCAACATTGAGCGCTCGCGACGGTGCCGCCAACGCGTCGAGGCGGGGGCTATCCTTCTGAACGGATGCCGCCTGAACTGAGGGGGGTCGAAAAGGAGGGACCAGCTCAAAAGTGGGGGAAACATCGACCTGGGATTGGCGGTACATCGCCGCTACATCGGCGATAGGCGCCCGATGGTGAACCCGCACCCAGGCCCTGGCCCCGATCGGCGACCAATTGAATTGGCGATTGGGGGACGATGCTTCCCCCGCTGAGCCAGTCTTGGGGTTCACAAAACGGTGCAGTAGGGGCCCGACCACACAAAACCTTCCACAAGAAATCCAACCATGAGACCCCAGGACGTCAGTTGATTTTTGGCGTGGGAACGTCACGCTTTCCATAGCAAAACAAACCATCGTCACCCAATAAACCCAGAGCACCCTGGAGGCGAGCAAGGTGTATCTTGGCATGGGTCTCCACTGCACGGTGGCACACCGTCAGTGACCCCGAAATCCCAAAGGACCTCACCGCGGGGCCCGTCACCGCACGGTTTTGGGACCCTGGAGGCCCTAGTTGCGAGGGACGTTCTCAGAGAACAACCCAGGTTTAGGTAGGACATGTCCTCCTACGGGCGAACTTGGGAGGAAAAACATAACATAGTCAAACCATACTCGAAAATAGCCAGCACAAATAATCGAACATCGTCCCCAGACTATGTTTCAGCCACGCGCAGAGGGGGGTGGGGGGAAGGGGGAGGGCTTCTTAGAAGCACCCCTGCTTCTTTGAAGGCGCGGGCCTTCTCTGTAGATGCAAGGCCGGCGCCTTCTACGAAGCGGCCTCCTTCGGAGAAGCCCTCCCCCCTCCCTCCACCCCCTTGGGCGCACCGCCACATGTTTTGACTGCTCTCGAATACCCACTCCCCCCGCAGAGGGACACGCCCGACTTCAGCTCAGGTCCCCAAACCGTGCCTCTGCCCCGAGGCCCCGCCCGCGCCGACTCCGCAGACGGTGGGCCCACCCGCACCGACCGGGGGGCCCCTGGCAGTCCCCACCCGCCCCTGCTCGTGGGCAGCAGGGCGGCCTTCGTCGTTCCCTGCTCGGCGTTCTTCGCGGTAGAGGGTCCGGGGACAACACACAGAGATAGACACACGCCCCAGGATTCCCCCCCTGACTTCCCATCTGTTCGGGGTGCTCGTCTTCCCCCCTCACCTTCCCATACGTTCCACATTTCACAGGGAGTCGACGACTGATCGTGCATGTGTGTTTCTTGTCGCCTGAACGGTGACTGCTCCGCACCCTCTCTCGTTGGCGAGAACGCACAAACACATACACACACACACACTTGTTGCGTCGGCGGCGAGGCAGGGATCGTCTGCGCTAGCGGACAAGTCTAAACGGGGGTGTCGTTGAAGCGAATTGTGCCACCATGCAGGAGGGAGGAAGAGGCGGAGGACGCGGCCGAAAGAGGGGGCAAAAGGAGCGAGCCGCTCAAGGGGACGGGTCACGCCCCGAGCGCGTACGTACGTACGTACGGCGGCCTCGCAGGCGGGCCCCCTGGGCCGCGACCCCGCGGATGCGGGATGTCTTTTCGCGGATGTCCCGCGCTGAACGTCTTCGTGCGACCGCGTATCCGCGGGATCGCGCCCCGTACATGTTCCCCGCCTGCCGCTGCCCTGAATTGAGGGGCAGCGATAGGGGGGGACACCATAGGAGGCGAAACATCGACCTGGAATCGGCGATATATGGCCAATAGATCTACGATGGGTCCCCGATGGCGAACCCTTACCTTCCTGGCCAGGTTGGGGCTACCGGGCTCCTACCGGCGATTCGGGGTCGATGCATCGACCCAGACCCCTGTCGTCGTGACTTGTTCATAACGTCGGTCCCCCCAGAGAGGTCTCGACCATTCCCCGGGACCGGCTTTTCATGCTGAGTCGTTCCCTGACGTTCCCAAGGCAGGATAGGGGCTCCTTCATTACTCGAGGAGGTCTGGGACTACCGCTGCCCCTGACTCAGAGGACAGAGACCTCTGCACGTGCACCGACTCTGGCCAGGCCCGAGCCCAGCATTGGTGCATACGCCCTCCCGCCTTGGCAGGAGAGGCATGTGCACTGGCCCAAGAATGGGCCCTTGGCCAAGTTCGGTTCTCCTCGCCTGGGCCCTGCCTTAGTGGGCCCCGGAAACAGCAGGGCCGTTTTCTCACCGTTTCCCCAAAAAATGTCCCTTGAAAATGGCAACGGCAAAAAAAAGGCGACCGGAAACGGCAACAAAAACGGCGCCAGGATTGGAACCAGAGCGGGAACCCGTAATAGAACGGCGACGGAACCCGTAATAGAACGGCGTCGGAACGGGCAAAAAACAGCAAAACGGAACCGGTAGAGAAACGGCCCTGTCGTTTGCAGGGCCCACTGAGGGCCCTGCTGGCGCGCGGCCCGCCCGCGGCCCGCCCGCTGCGAGCAGCCACCCCGGCGCTGGCTGAGCAGCCTGGCGTCGTGCACGCGGGTCCGGCACCAGGGCGGTGCCTCTGGGCGGGCTGGGGGGGCTCTCCGACGGCGCCGCCGCACGGCGGCTCGTGAAGGTCGGGCGCTGCTCGATGGGGGGGCAAGTCTGCGGCAGATTCGTGTCGTGCCGACTTCAGAGCTGGCTCCTGACACCGCGGGCATCGTTCCACTTTGAAGGAGCGGCCGTTTCCGAAACGTCAGCTCGTTCGACGTCGAGCGATTATGGGTCGCCAGAAGCGTTCAACGTCGACTGCCAGCGGCGGGGTCGCCGCCGGCGATCTAACAGACAGGGAGAGAAACTCGAGAACGCCGCTGCACCTCAGGAGGGCTATTCCAACCGCGCGAAACACGGACAAGCGAGCACGTGCAGCGCAGGTCGTCACAGAACATGGCCTCGCGAAGGGAAGACCTCGGTCGCAATCGAAGCGGTCGCCCCTGGGACCCAGCAGAGCGACCAACAAGGATGGGGGGGGATCTACGCGTCGTTAATTCCAAATCGTGCTCATTTCTAGTTGTGCTCGCTTCTGACTGTGCCTGGCCCCCCAGTGGCCAGGAAGAGGCCCAGGATAGAACAATTAGAAATGAAAGGATGTTGACCCCCAAACAAACAACGTAAGATCCGTCGAAAAATTAAAAATGAACAACGTGCATTGGAAAGCTCAAAAGCCCTGATTAGAAAGGGTTGTCCTCTCCTGGGGAGGCCGATTTGCACCTCCGCCGGCGTCCGCCGAGCCCGCGCAGGCGAAACGGCGGCGGCGGCGCCCTCGCGTACTGCCGCCGCCGAGGAGGCGACACCAGCTCCTTCGATGTCCTCGGAGGCGAGGCCCCCTCTCCGGAGTGCCCCCCCGTGTGCGTGGACGCCCCGTGCCCCTCCCTGGCCCCCGCAGGGGCCCGTTCTGGGCCCCGTGGGGGGCACAGTCGCCCTCCCCCCCGGGCTCGGGGTCCACCAGAACGGGGGGGGGGAACCCTGAGGGGGGGGGGAGCTCGATCCGCTGGTGCATCGAACTTCCGGAAAACGATGCCACCCGCGCGCCCCGATTGTCGACACCTCTCGGGTTCCGGCGGCGGCCGGAGACCTCGTTTTGCATAGTTTTTCTGCGGTTTGATGCGCCAGCGGACCGAACTCCCCACCCCCCTGTGGCCCCCCCCCCCCTTGGCGAAGTCCCGAATTACGCAACGCCCGAGAAGAAGTGGGGGCTGGCGCGCCGGGTGCGAATGATGCCGTCAGCGGCTCGAAGGTGTACGGTTGGGAGCTTTTGCTCAGCGTGTCGCAGCGGCGGCCCCAGCGACACGCTATAGGCTATGCCTTGCGTGTGGGCAGCATGTCGCTCCGCGGCGCGGGGACGGCGGTGGGGAAAGGCTCGCGACTCTGGCGCCTGGGGGCTAGGACATGGATCGGCGTGTCGCGCCTCGGCGTGGTGGGCCAAAACTGGCGGAGCGGCACGCGAACCAAAATTCCCAGCAAGAGAGCCCTCCGGGGTTCTTTCGACAAGGAGCGGCGGAAACAACAACCGCACTGCAAGCCTGTGGGAGAAAAAGAGGAGGAGGTGGAGGAGGAGGAGGAGGAGGAGGAGGAGGAGGAGGAGGGGCACACTTGGAAAGCGCACTTCTGCGCAGCCCAGCGCAGGCGCCGCCGTCGGGGACGGCCCCCGAGACAGAGCGCAAGCGGCCGCTCGGGGACTCGGGGCGAGCGGTGCTCTGCGGCGCGTCCGCCAGTGCGGAGCAAGGGGCTGCTCGGGGCCAAGGTGACTCCTGGCAACCCACAGGCGAGCTGCCACGTCGGAGCTATCCCTCCTCCTCCTCCTCCTCTCCTCCTCCTCCTCGTATCCTCCCCCTCCTCCTCCTCCTCCTCTCCTCCTCTCCTCCTCCCCTCCTCCTCCTCCTCCCTCCCTCCTCCTCTCCTCCTCCCTCCTCCCCTCTCCTTTCTCCTCCTCCTCCTCCCCCTCCTCCTCCTCCTCCTCCCCCTCTCTCCCCTCCTCCTCCTTCCTCCTCCTCTCCTCGTCGTTCTCCTCCTCCTCCTCTCCTTCCTCCTCCTCCTCCTCCTCCCTCCTCCCTCCCTCCTCCTCTCTCCTCCTCCTCCTCTCCCTCCTCCTCCTCCCTCCTCCTCCTCCTCCTCCTCCTCCTCCTCCTCCTCCTCCTCCTCCTCCTCCTCCTCCTCCTCCTCCTCCTCTTGGGGTGCTCGACCTGGCTGCTCTATCTATTTGCAAGGTGCATGCTAGCATGGCGTTAGAGGCCGTCGGCATGATTTGGGCCACAGCATGGGCGCTGCAGGCGAAGTGCCGAGATTGTAGGTTTCATGTTGACAATTTCTCGGTGTTGCGAGCGGCTCCTGGGTTAGGAGGGTTGTCTGACATTTCGGGTTTAACGAAGTGCCTAAAGTCCGTGGTCCTCGCTCTCCAGCAAATTCCACCTACTGCCTTTCAGCATGTCAAGTCCAAGTTGGAGCATCCCCTCAATGAAATGGCAGATACATTGTGTGCGTTAGCAGCACTAAAAGTCGTGGGCCCCCCCCAGTGTGCCCCTGGACTGGTTGGCTTGCTGGCCCGTTGACCGCATCCTGGGCCTGGATCGAATTGCTAGACATCCCGAGCAGACAGCAGTTTCCATCCATGTGCCAGGGCGATTTCATTATAGTTTCCGGCGCGCCTAGCGTAAGGGATGTCTGCCCGCCTTGCTCCTCTCCACTTGGTCCTCAGCATGACCTACTTTTCTCCAGATATCCCCCTTGTGGTGCCCCTGTCTCCCTATCGAGAGATGTCGCTACGCATGCCAAGCTTTCTGTGCGCATGGCGTTTGCGAATATTCTGAATCTGCGTGCGATTGGCAATGGCAAGAAGGCGCCTGTTGGTCTGTATGCAGCAGGACGGCCGCGGACGCTTGCAACTCAGTTCGAAGCCGCCAAGATGTTGATCGTCGGCACGGCAGGGTCAAGGGTTCCACATCAAGGATGGACGGATGTAGGGAACTACCTGGTCTTGCACGGGCCAACCACCCCCCAAGGGACTCATGGGTGCTCTCTTTGGCTCTGCAAGGGGGCCCCCCTGGTTCCTTCATTGGCTGACAGTACCGTTCAACGGCATCTCGTGACGGTTGCAGCTGTTGAGCCCACTATCATAGTAGTCAACCTCGCGGTGGGTTCCGTGTCTGTGTCCTTTGTTGTTGGGCACGCTCCACGCTCAAAGCATTACAAAAAAGATATTGAACAGTGGTGGGGTAAATTTTCGGGCGTGGTCCAAACAACGATGGGGGCTACTCCGTACACGTTTTTGCTTTTTGAAATACCAATGCTACGGTTGGCAGCATCCCCTCGGATTTGGTCGGCCCCGTGGCCCGTGAAACTGGGAATTTCAATGGTGCCTGTTTCCATAAGTGCCTCAAGGAATGTGCGGTCATGCTGCCTGCTACTTTCGCGGGTGACCCGCAGGCCTCCAAGACTTGGACGCCGCCGCAAGGACTCGTGGCCACGAGAAGGATTGACTTTGTGGCTGTCCCAACTGCGAAGAGAGACAGCTTGCGTTTGAATCCGTTGTCAGCAAGGTGGTGGAGCTGGCCATGGCGCGGCCTGACCACTCGCTAGTACAAGTTGATGTTTGCACGCCCATCCCAGATCTTCGCCCCTTCCAGGGGGTCGTTTCCTCGAAACCACGGCTGGACAGAGGAAAGCTGGCGGGCGCCAAGGTCCTGGATACTTTACACCGTATATGGACCAGGCCCCTTCGCCGCAATGGGCCGTACTCCCGACGCAGCATTGCACCCGGGTGTCGGTGTTTGCCCGGCAAGGCATGGACCAGTTTTTCGGCATGGATCAAAACAAGCGCGCTACTGGACTGTCCGAGCATGCGCGCGTGCAAGTCTCTGCCCTCCATGCGTCCCGACGCGCTCTCTCGCAGGTCAGAACACTGGCGGCGCAAATTTGTTCTCGTCTGGCCCTGGAGGTTCTCCTGTGCGCTTCTAGCCAGCATTGGGACTGGGTTCCTGGGGTCCGTGTCCGAATGTGTGGTGCCGTGCCGCGTGCATCAGAACTCTGGGGGCCAAGTGTTGACACTTTCTGAAACTGTTTTCGCTTTAGGACAGGCAGGTAGGCAGCTCCTAGCCAAGATTGTAAGTGCTTGGGGTGGGCGTGTTCAGGCTCTCCATCAGGCGCGTCGCGTCTTCGTTTCAGATGACCAGACGCCTGAAAGAGTTCTCAGTGTTAGTTGCGACTGATATCGGCTGCGCAGACAGGTTGCTGAAGTCGCGCGCGCGTCTTCCCCAGTAGAGCGGAGGGTGCGCTGCCAGAAGACTTGCAACCGAAGAAGAGTTGCGAACGCTGGCTTTGCGGCTGTTTCGTTCCTCATGTTTACGCCGGGGCTGCCTGAGCACACGCGGACAGGGGAGCGTCGAGCCCCCCGATGCATCGTCTGCTGCGCATGGCAAGGGCGATCGCCTTTCGTACCCCGCCGTTTCAATATTGGGTTCTTATGCCACAGGTGCAACAGGTCCACGATGTCATCAGGGAAGAAGCCAATAAAAAAAACTTCCGGATATTGCGAAGTCAACTGGGGACGCATGGTCCGCTAGGGACTTTGCGTCCGCGCCTGGCCCTGCGGCCCCTGGGAGCCGCTGGGCAACGACACAGACAACGCAAAGTCTCGCCTGCCATTCAAGGACCTGATGGCGAGCTGTTGCCGACCGCGGTGCAAGCGCACGATAGGTGGATGCAGCACTTTGCCGCCCAGGAGTTGGCAGCCACTCTGTCGCCCGACCTGTTCGAGGCAATTTGTTTTGACAGCGTTGCGGGCCTGGACGGCGCAACTCGCGACGCATCCAACCTTCCTGCGTTTGCGGAGTTTGAAATGTCACTTCGAAGGGCCGCCAATGGAGCTGCGGGCCCTGATGGACTCCACGGGTCGTTTGTCAGGGCCTGTGCGGCCCCTCTGGCCAAGGCTTTCTACCTTCTAGCGTCCAAAGCGGCGGCGCTGGTCAGCGAACCTATCCAATGGACAGGGGGGGGGGGGGCCCCTCACACCCCCAAGGGCAAA